ATCTGGCATGCAAAATAGGAACAGAAGTTGTGTTTGCTTTAAGGTGGTAGAAACAAAGGTACATATATATGCTGGAGATGTTTTGGTGAGAGTCTGTGTAAGTTATCTTCTAGTTGCTTCCAGGTTCTCAGTGAATGTGACTTCAAGATCACTAGTTGGGCAGTTGGGTAGGTTTTGGATTGTATAGGTGCAAAAAGAAAGCAGAAAAACCAGTCAAGACACAAGTGTAGTAATCTGGTGGAGATAAAATGGCTGGGACCAGGTGATCATGTAAGTTATCATTCATACCAGGGCGTCTTAGAGATTATAAAGGGACACTTATAATAATCATGCCAGGACAACAGGTTTCACTTACATCTGTCCTGAGTAAGCAAAAACATACGGTCACCCTGTCCTATATTAGGCAGATGAGTGGAAACAAAGAAAAGGGGAAATATGCTCATGAAATGGATATGGGACTTAGGAGGAAGAATAATTCAAGATTAATTCCCAGGTTTCTGGGTATTTACTGAGAAAAACAGGAATGAGGAGCCCTCTGTGGGGATTTTTAGAATTGTTTTGGATACAGTCAGTTTGAGAGGCTTGTGAGACATTCAAGTGGCAATATTTGTCCTGAAGCTCTACTGAGGGTTCTAGGTAGAGAAATAATTGTCCAACTGACAGCATACAGGTATGATTTAGTGGAAATAAATGAAATCACATGGGATGGGAGTATACACAAAGAGAAAGCAGACTTACTAAACTCTAAGAAATCTTGAACATTTAAATGCTAATTAGGAGGAATAGTCAGAAAGTAAATCTGTAAAAAAGTAGCTTAGAGAGGTAAAAGAAAATGAGGCTAGAGTGGTATCATGTAAGTTATAGAAACAGAATTTCAAGCTGACTTTCAAAAAAGAGGGAGTGGCTAACATTATCTGATGCAGTTGAGAGGTCAAATAGATGGATACCAGAAAAGTGTCCTTTGAATTTGGCATTATGGAGCTGATTTATGAGCTTGACAAGACTTATTTCAGGTAAGTGTTAATGGCAGAAGGTAGGTTAGTGTGACTGAAAAAAAAAAAAGAAAAGAAAGAAAAAAGAGGACTTCCACTTTTAGCAAAGCAGTGACTAGATAGTGCATAGGGTCCAACAGCTATAAAACAAATAGGTACTCAATAAAACATACTTTCAATGCTCAGTTGGGATTTCAGCATATAAAAAAAATTTCCAAGCCACCCTCTCCCCCCAAAACAGGGAGATGTGAATAGTATGCAGTTAATATTTGAAAAATATGCTCTGATTGAGAAAGTCACAAGGTAGGAAAACTCAAGTCAAAACTTTTACATTACACCAAAATGGTCCTAGGTTAGGGGAGTTCCCCGCTTTTAGTAGAAGCAATAAAAATTCACTCACAGGGCAAAGAATACCCTATTTAGACTCCTAGGTTTCAATAGATTAAGATGAAATACATGTGAACTCACAATTAAAAATTACAAAACATTTTATAAACTTCCATGAGTGAGGATCAACAAAGCAGGTTTAGATCCCCAAGATCTTCAGATTTTGAAATAATTAATAGACTAGGAAAAAAATTATTTTAAAAAAATGGAATCATGCAAAAAGCATATGAGATTTTTAAAAATGACCAAGCTGAGTTCGTAGAAAAAAAGCCAAATAAAACTTTTTTAATTCTTGAAAATTGAAAACATTTTTTTTTGAAAATTAAAACTCAGTTGATGAGTTAAACATCAGACAGACCAGATATAGTTACCAAGACAACACCAATACTACTTGGGATTATAGGCAATGTCAATGAGACAAGACACCCCAAGTAGAGGTCTGGATAAGAGAGGCGTATATTTCTCTCCAATACAGCAGGATGAATAGGCACACAGGCTCTGTTTTGTCATTCTGAACACTTGACTTTATCCTTGGACCTATAGCAACTGTTACAATTGCCCTCAGTCATATGATTCATGATAGTTCACTAGCAACACATTGCCTCTCCAGCACATTAAATGCAAGAAACAAAGCATTAAAGAAAAAAATGTTTCATATTTCTAGGGTGTGAATTATAAGTTGCACATCATTTCTGCTTATATACAAGTAGCCAAAATCTAGCATTATGGCCACACCTGACTGCAGAAGAAACTGGGAAATCTATGCTAGGTGAGTGGTCATTTCCAGCTAGAACCTGGGGGTGGGATATTATTACTAAAACGAGGACAGGAGAATGAGTCCTGAAATACAACAGGAGTTTCTATGGCAGCATAGAGTGATATGGAGACAGAAACTAGGAGACAGAGGTTTCATGATATAAGAGTAGCGTGAGATTTAATATAGGCCTGATCAGAGTCACAGGAATGATTAGAAAAAGTTGCAGAAAGCCGGGCTTGGTGGCTCAGCCTGTAATCCCGGGCCTTTGGGAGGCTGAGGTGAGTGGATTGCCTGAGCCCGCGGGTTCGAGACCCGCCTGGGCAGCGAGACCTCATCTCTATAATAAATCAAAAAATCAGCCGGGCGTGGTAATGCGCACCTGTAATTCCGGCTACTCGGAAGGCTGAGGTGGAAGGATCGCGGAGCCCGGCAGGTCGAGGCTGCGGTGGCCGGGAGCGGCCACTGCACTCCAGTCTGGGCGACAGAGTGAGACTCCAACTCAAAAAAAAAAAAAAAGAAAAGTTG